GCACACGCAATATAAAACAGTTTTAACACTCCTTCCTTAAGCTAGTTTTTTTTCTTCCTAATCTAATTAATTTCTTAATGCATAAAACGAACTTACTTTCTTCCTTCTGCGGTTTGGTTCGTATAGCATCACTCATGGGTGATGGGGGACCAATGCCTTTAGAATTCTCTGCACGTACAATAAAAACATATGAATGTGCTGACTTTAAATTCCTTGCATGATATCTTGGACCAGATATATAATCAGGGACATTAAACCAAGTCTGCAACCACACTAATATATACCAAAATTTCAAAAATTCAGTTTCAAAAGCATTCCATTATTGGAAAACTACTGAGAGTGAGTTGGTGAAAATCTGACAAGAACCTACTTGTCCCATTTCTGGACTGAAATACTGTAATAAATAGCCATTTATCAGAGTAGCACCACTTCTTTCCGGTGCAGTCCATTCGAGATCAACGCCATCCTCTGTGACATTTTGAAATGAAGGCTTGCCTGGAGCTGACGGAAAAGCGGAAACGTCTGGCATTCGGGTAAAGGTGATTGATGGATTAGTGTGCTCTGTAAATGAGAATTTTGATTTAATACGATAACCGATGTAACAATTTTGAAATACGGAGATAACTCATTTTAATGTGTAATTCTATAAATGTATTTTGATGAGTGAAATTTGTTCTCAACATTTAAAGAGCAGAAATATTTTAAAAAGAACCTTCAACAACTAACGATGCAGTCCATGTGGATTCACCGTCCTGATTACGAGCTCGACATGTATAAACACCAGTATCACTCTTCCTACGAATGAAATTTGCCTTTATTGTGACAAACATCTAATATTGATGTAGTACATCACTTTCAATTAGTCTAATTTTATATTACCAAGTTAATCAAGTAAAACCAAAAATGGAAATGAATGCAAGCTTAGTAACAGACAAAAAAACAAAAATATGATTTCGACGTGTAATTCTGCAAAGTAAGCTGCTATTCAGAAAGCAAAATACTCTGCATTCGTAAGAACTTTTATTCACTAATTACTCAGTGTCATTAATGCATCGCAGTGAATAAATTTTTTACTTCAAATCATCGATTTGCAATGAGCCAGTAGATAATTGCTTCAAGTGAATCTCGAAATTCTCAAAATCAATGGGTTCACCATTTTTCAACCAGCTGATTTGAGGTATGCTTCGCCCACTTGCTGAGCATGGTAATAAAGCTGAAGCGCCAACCATCAATGTTTGATTGCAATGTCCATGCTCGATAACTGGTGGCGGATAAAGCGGTAAGGCTGGAAAAAATTTTGCATAAAATAAGCTTTTTAAGTAATTTAGCTAAATTTCTTTTTTATAACCTTCCTATTTTTTTTCATACTTAATGATCGAATTTCTGTAACCAACGATGAGATCAAAATAAGGATTTATAAAGAAAATATTGAAACTAGACAAATTACATAGGAAACAAGCACAAGCTTTTTTAAGTCGAAATTAAACCGAATAATATACAATTTTGGCCATATTTGTTGATAAAAATACAAGTTTTAGAAAGCAGAAATTAAATCAGTCATCAGTATTACTGAATATGACGAAACGAATCCTTATCGTACTAGAAGAATATCACATTTAGTTACATTACAAATTTATTATATTAGAAGATATGGACGAAAACGACGTCAACAAAACCATTCTCATAAATCACTAGTTCCAATTTTATTTTGCCTGCCCGAGTTTACAGACTTTGATTTATAATCCCAAGTAATTTATGGCTGGCCTTATGGGTCAATAAGCAGTTGGATTGCGCATGACCTTCGCCTTATTCTCATCTAAAATGGTCAAACCTTACTGAACTCGTACCCATCAGACCTGCTAGATTTACATGTAATATATGTACAGAAAATAAATGAATCTTCAACAAGAAAAAAATTTACTTCCATTGATGCAATACGGGGTTCCGTAAAGGCATGATAACGAAAGTGTTGTCGTCAAACTTAACACCGTCCCGAATACCATCTCCACTGTCACAAAATCATTTGATGCAGAACAAAAATAGAAGTTTTTTTTAGAGAGAGTCTAATCTAACAACAATAACGATCTCTAGAAAGGCAGTTTTGGCAACAGCAGCAGTAAGGTCGATAATGGTCGCTAAATTGCAGGCCACATGCTTCGGTTGCTGTATACAAGTGATCTTTACACGTTCTGATCATATAAGTTTAACGAATAGACAAAAGCAACTAAAAATTTGGCAGATTACTACACGAATAACAAAAACTCTGTTAAAAGTATCCTTATCATAATGAAAGCATTTAAGGAGCGTAATGAGTGGTTGGAAGTTAGAAATACAAGAATGTGCTTGGTGTTATTGTACACAATTCTCATGAATGACTTGTAATATATCGCGCTACTACCAGTGAAAAGATTGATTCTCGAGTAACGAGTAAAAGACGATAATTGTTCATCTTACTTTCCAGAATACAAGAACAAATAAACCGACTACCATTATCACCAACTATCAGCAATATTAATCACATATAAATGCTGAATGGATAATTTTTTCAAGTGCACTGACCGAGACAGTCTAATATAAGGGGTCACATTTATGGGATAGTTGAGAGCATGGCAAAAAGGTTTTGAATTACTGCTATAACTCTTGAAAGTTGATTCTTTACATAAGTTCACATTTTCTTACAAGACAAAGAGCCAGCGATTACGAAAAGATAAAAAACGAAAATGAGAATTAAAACAAAAAAAGTTCAAATGACATCAAACGCGACTGCTAAATATGAAAAAAAGAGTAATCATTGATGGTACAGCTGACCAGAAGCTATCTGAACATATGCTATGGTTAAAGGAGCAGAGATCGAAAAATCTTGAAGAAGAAATAGTAAGCTATTCCCCAAATCTGTCAGATGTCAATCCCATTTTTGTCTGGTAAAATGGACCATTACAGAAACTGAGAATAAGAAAAATGAGTTGATAGTAAAGTATTTTAAATCGTACATCTATCTCTTTGCCCGTTAACATTAACAACTTTAAACTAAAACTTAATGTTTCTTGATTATTTCTATGTTACTTGTGCTATATTCTACTCATTCTACAAGCAAAAAAAGGATAGTGTATGCTTCTAAAATCCATGAATAGAATAAAGTAATTAAATATTACAATTAAGTAAATGGGTCACTAATATTCTGCACTTTCTATTCGACATTAAAACATTGCTTGAATCAAAAACTATGAAACAGAAAACAGTAACAAGCACTTTTACGCCAAGTTCAATAGTGCGAAAAGTGAGAGCACATTTGATACGTTCATTGAATATTAATAAAGTACTACTTTAGAACTAGAAGTCAGTAAAGTTATTTGCAAACGATGTAAGATGCACTTACATTGTTGTCCTGCTAATATATGAACAATTCTATTTCTGCACTTACACTAATTTTTTCAATGAATACCTTACCAGAATACAGTTTCAACCAAGTGACAAAAATAATAAACGACTGCCATAACTTCGTATTCCTCTAGGAACCACAACAAATAAATTTATTAGTTTGTCTAGCTGCAACCACGTACAGCAGTAGCCTCAAACCAAAGTGGCAGTAACCACACAATAAGAAATGAATGCGCTAATTTCCAAAAGAAAATACAAACTGAGCAGTTGAAAAATATGGGAAATTTGCCGACAAATAAAACGTAATCAATCTTCTGTGACATTGCATAGTAGTTAAAAAGTCTTTCTACAAGTTCTTCAATCAGCTATGGAAAAAATGATACTTCCATAGCCGATTGAGGATTTTAAAGCGATCACGATCACACTGTATAAGACATACCTTAAGATTGCGTTAATCATTTGAAATACGTATTTAAAAAGTAAAGTGACGGTAATTAATTCTACGACGATAGGCTAATAGTCACTTAATTACTAGGATGATAGTGCTTCCAACAAAATAATTTTGCCTTAAAACTCGTTTTGCACTAAACATTGCTCGAAATACAGATTATGAAAACAGAAAAGAATGACAAGCACTACTAAATTGTCCACATGTTCACAAAGATGAAAGTTGAAAATTCGAATTATTATAATGCGAAAATGCACCAGTACTATATTTTGATGAATTTATGCCAGGGAAAAAATGACTATGGATATGAGTCAATACAGGAATTGTCTCAAAGAGCTCTAATCAAGAATAAAAAGAGCAAATCAAAGAATGCTAGAAGCTACCAATTATCGTTAACTATTTACACCTTGGTCTATGTTGTTTTTATTTCAAAAAAAAAAAGCTCACAGAACCATATCTATCCACTCATCTATTCATTAACATCGATATTTTTTAGAATATGCAGTGTAACCCACAGCAAAGCCCATCAACAAGAAAGTGAAATATTATCGAAACCAGGATAAACTTTCACAGATTGTAATTACCCGTAAAACTGGTAATGAGAAATAAAAATGAGGAAAATGGATAGAATACGAATATGGGGTGAATTAGTTGATGGGATCGAGTCGCTTGAGGGTCAGTGACTTGTGAAGTTCATAATGGAGCCGAAAACAATGAAGGGCTGAATGAATGAATATAAAGGGATGCAATGAGAAGCCGTTTAAAAGGGAGTATACAAGGATGAAAGGTAATATACGCGAAAGTGCTAGTAAACGGAAGCTGAAAGTATGACGATCACATCTTTTTTGCCTTTGCGCATTTCAAGGCACGAACACAATTAGGCGAACTATTTTATTACCTATGGTTGATCTCGTTTCTCCTACCTATGGCAAGCACAGATTCAATGAGGTGAAATAATCCTCACAAGGTCAAACTGACTGATATCTATTGTAATGAGCATTACCGCGACGAACACATGACGGATATAGAAGAAAATTGTTGCTGTTGCTCACTTTCCGTCTTATCAAAAATCAAATAACATCCTCTAATAATAACAGTCGATAAAGAAGGAAAAAGAGCAGCTTAACTTCTCTGCTAGTCCATGTTTCCTGACCTTCACATCATATGCAATGTCGTCACTATCACGGCCTTCTTTTTCCTACCTTTTATCGGTTCCTCAGGGTAATTCGACACCCACCATAAATGCTCATTTACTACATTCATGTAAATAGCCATGCGACACAAAGTCATTTTCGACATCACCTCTCAACTAAACTGTTAATCAAGCCCCATGTAGTCTTTTTCGGACACCATCTGTGCTTGTTATGCCTCTGCTAGTTATAAAATACTCTGCTTCATAATCATTACCTCTACCTGTCTAAAAATCCTTCTGATGAATAATAACTCATTAATACATTATTCATAAACTGACAAATGGACCTGTAAGTCACCAAATTACTACTTACACAACGGCTGAAACCAAAGTAAATTTAGTTCAAAATAATTCTCATTCAAAATCCCTGTTCTCATTCTTGCTTTATGTATCTAAAAAATTATGAATTTAATCACCAGAATCAGAAAGTATTATATGAAAACAATCAATTATCGATATAATTAGTGTAAAAAAAAACAGAAATACAATAAAATATACAGGACATGTCAACACTTTATCCTTCATACCTTGTGTAAGTAGAACTAGAAAAACACCAATGTTTAATAATGACATTAATGAAGAGTATCTTGATAGAGGTTCCACAAATCAGGCCAAAAACCCAATGGGATCGTTATTTCTGTTTAGCGGTATGAACAGTAATTCTTGATCTCGTGCAGACTGGTAGCTCAGACAAACTTCTCAAAGTTTTGAAATTAAAGAAGTAACATCCGTGTTCAACCTCGGAATCTGTAGATCTACCCTCTTCCTTTTTCAATATAATTATGTCAATGACTTAATCTCTTTATCACTGAACTTAATGAAAAAAATTCAGCAAACGATACTTTCACGTAATTTTATCAAATTTCAATATATATATATATA